GTGGTCAGCTCCAGGTAGCACAGAAGTAAACCACTCATAACCACACACACATACCTCACACTGAATAGGTATCGGTACACAAGTTACCCACACTCAATCACATTGAGATGCAGGCCTATGACAACTCAGTCACATGCATGTTTATATGTGTTCACACTCACCACACATCAACACATACATATTTATGTGTTCACACTCACCACACACTAGCATGCACACTTAAGTCCCACGTGCTCACGATGTCACGCTTTCACACCATCCCACACACTCTCCCATGCAACACTGGCATCCTCACAGATGCTCTTAGAGTCACATGGACTCAGGATGGTTCCCAATGGCAGGCAAAAAGACCAGTAACACCCCCTTTGGGGAGAAGAGGGCTTCAAGGGTTAAACAAAGGGGTGAGCAGGGAGCTTCCTAGGACAAGTGGGCTTTGAATACAGCAGTGAAAGAGTTGGAGAGAAGTTTCTAGGAGCAGTAGATGCCTGGATGGAAAAGTACTCAGGGTAGACAGGGATGCTGTGGAGACCAGCTTAGCCCTCTGAAGTAACATAGGAGATGGTACACAGGGTAGACAGCTGTGGCAGGAGACCACATGTCTCAGGGGCTAAAGGATCTCAGCTCAACATTCTGGAGAGCTCTCGTGGCCCAAACGTTGGTCTAGCCTCCACTCAGTTGGGCCCAAAAGCTGAAGAGTAGCTACTAAGTTGTAGGGAGCCGCAGCCCAGAGACACAGGAAACTTGCTCCAGATCAAACAATCTTTAATTTTTCATGATTATATGACACCCTATCAACTGGGATGCAATCCTGTCACCTACCTGTGGTATGCATTTTGGGGTCTAGCTGTGGTTCCGAGCCCTCTGTTTCCTCCCTCTCAGGTTGTCCAGATGTCACTGCACACTGGGCTGGAAGGATGACACAAAACAACCTGGAATGGATAGAGTTCTGCAGATCCCAGTAAATGTGGGGGTGGTGGTGAGAGAGTGTGGGGAGGGGGCAGAGAGAAGGCCTTTTCTATGGATCTTAGTGTTACAGCTCCTTTAGGAGAGGGCCTTTCCCACGACCTTCAGTGAAACAGCTCTCTAAAACAATCTTAGCTTGTGTACAAAGCCCACCTTTATTCAGGGTGGGCTTGTATGCATACACTTTATTTGGGGTGAACTAAGGGTTATATAATTTGAAGGAAGGACATGAGAATATCCAGGGTGCACATAGGTCATTGGCTGAAGGCTAAGGTACTGAGATGCCTCATTAGCATGGGGAGGCACTCCAGGAATCTCAGGATACTCCCACCTACCCTTCATCAGGTAGGTGGTAGGGTTAGGGTCCTGTGTGTCCCCGGTAGAGAAGAGGACGCCCTGCTAATCTAGTAATGTCAAACTTCTACCCGAGCATCAAGGTTTCTTGTTTCTGGACACCCAGTGGCCTAACAGACACCATAGCCTTCTCCCCATAACCTGTAGACTTGAACAGCCTACAGCCATCAAGGAGCCATGTGGAGACAACCAGCTGATACCTGGGATCAGTCAGAGGGCTAGTGGGCTGCACAGTAGGTCTCCAGGTCTCCCCGTGCCCTCTAGAGTCTTCCTGTCCAGAGCCTACAGTTCTTGAAAAGTCTGCCTTAAGGCAGGGAGACTGACCATTCAGGCCCAAGCATGTGGTGGATCTGCCATTTGGTGACAAAAGGGACTAAGAGGGAGGACTTGTAGGAGGGCCCATTGGGAGAGGGTCAGACTGAAGTCAAGGGCCTCACATACCCAGGCACCTAAGCCACTCTTTGTATGCCGTGAGGAACATGCTCTCAATCTATGCCTCTTGACCATTTGTTCTCTGGAACACTTTTACCCTCATGTATAAAAGAAAGTGGTGACCAAGGGAAGTGAAGTAGCTGGGACAAACAAGAAGCCGGGAGGCCCCATAACACAGCTGGACTAACCTAGAGACTGACCACAGGTCAACCCATTGGCCTGTGTAGGGCCAACAGTGGGACCAAACATCACAGGCACACTCCAGCCCCGGGTGGCTCCAACTCAAAGTCAGCCTTCTGCTCATCACACAGACCTGAAAGAGCGGGTCTGCAATGCAAGCTGCCTGCAGCCAGTCGCACAGGCAGGGATTCTATCCCTCTAAAGCACTGCCCCTGGCCACCAAGAGGGAACTGGTGAAAAACTAATCTAGAAGCATCAGAGGTTCAAGAACAGTGTCAATCACAAGCAAATGGAAGGAGCTGTGTCCACTCAGATAGACACAGACAGGCCCTGGCAGCTAGGGTAATTTGAGCAGCAGCACACCAGTAAGCCACAGCCTCTGACTTGAGGGAAGAAAGACGTTTGACCCCAAGACAGAAGACTTACATATAAATGTAGTTGTTATTTTCTTCCCAGCTCCTGGAATGGCACCCAGAGCCTTGCACTAGGCAAAGGCTGTACAACTGAGCTGTACCTCCAGCCCAGAATACAGTTATTGAAACTGGGAGTGCAGTGTGAGGCCCACTGAGGTCTTGGAGAAGCTTCTATGGTCAACCTTTCTAGGGGAGTGCTGGTGGGAAGGTGGCAGTCACCCTAAGAACTGAGACTCTTCATTTATGTCAGGGTGCCTTTACTCTTACAGTAGATGCTACAGGGAGGGGTAAAGGCAGGTGGGAGGAGGTCACCCCATCAATGGGAGAGGGGAAAGCCGACTTAGCCTGGCCCTGCCTCAGCCTCTCGGTCCCACCCACAGAGTATCCACCTGAGCTTCCTGCGCACTGTACCACCCTACTCCCATCAGTCCAGTGTCTGGTTTGAGATGATGCGAGTCTACAACTGGAACCATATCATCCTGCTGGTCAGCGATGACCACGAGGGCCGGGCAGCACAGAAGCGTCTGGAGACACTGCTGGAGGAGCGTGAGTCCAAGGTGAGGCCCTAGCCCTCGACGAGGTCCTTGTCCAGCAGGAGCAGGCGGGCCATGCCATGTCTGTGGCTCCTTGTGAACACTCTCTCTCCATCCTGCATGCTCAGCACCACTGCGTCTGGCGGCGCCCGCCCCGGCCTGTCCTCGGCTCATTTCACTTGCTTTTGCCATTAGTCGAAATCTCCTTCGTGTCAGTCCCTGCTGCTGGGGCTGGACCACCTGGAGCTCTGCAAACACCCCTGTCCCGCCCCCCACCAGCCTCAGGCCTCCCTAGCCCCAGCTGAGGCCCCAGTTAGACTCAACTCAGGACCGCCCCAGCCCCTCTCTGCCAGATGCCAAGTCCCATCTACCTTTCAGGAACGCCCTGTACAGTCTCCTCCCCAGAGCATTGGGATACAATCCATGTCTCCTCACAGAGGCCACATCCTTCTAAAAGCCTGCTGCCTCATGGCTGGCAGCTCACAGCCCTCACTGAAGCCCCGCTCATCTGCAGCCCCATCTCCACTTGGCTCCTCAGGCTTACACTGTGTCCTGCCTCCCTCCTCGGGGCTTAGCTCTGCATCCCTCATGCTACTATGTAGACACTAATCTCAGGGTACACATACACTCCCATCTCAGCCTAGCCCCCAGTGTGTGCAACTGCCAGAGACCAGAGCCAGGATTTGAAGTAGAAGGGGTCAAAGTGACCCCTATACCCTTCCTTGCCAACACCCATGTCGGCCTAATAAGGACCTGGCCCCTGACCCCCTCAGTCCCAGGACACAGAGCACCAAGAAGCAGCTGGTTGGTACTTTTCAGGTAGCAGAGAGGAGGAGGCCTAGGCTGGGGAGGGGCCCCAAAAGACAGATGGGGGAGGGACATGGGTGGGAGCATGTTCTGCCTGCAAAATCATAGCTGGCCTCATCATACTTAGCACCAACCATTGTCTCCCCACACCCGAGGTGCCATCGGCCTCTAGATGGCGTAGAGGGCATGGCTTGGGGGTGGTGGGAGTTGAGGCTAGAGACAGGCCTAGGGCGAATCCTTTAGAGTGGTCCATTGAGACTGGGAAGGAGGGCTGGTTATTAGCACCAAGGGCTCTGCCTCCGCAGATAGTCCCACTCTCAGAATCCGGCAGGCTCCTTCATACTTCTGCCACACACACTACCAACCTACTCACATCTTCATCAGCCTGACCCCTGCACACCCAAACCACCTGCTTACCCTCTCTCTCCCTCTCTCTCTCTCTCTCTCTCTCTCTCTCTCTCTCTCTCTCTCTTTCTCTGTTTCTCCCGCACGCGCACACACGCACACACAGTTATTTGGTTCTTAGGTATTTTAGTGGTTTACCACAGGTTTTGAAAAGATAGCCTTCAGTCATCTCCATGTACTTCTGCACTGTGCTAGAGAATCACATACAAGTGACCTGTGACCTGGCTCACCCTTACCTGTAACCACAAGCTTAAACACCCATGCACGCACGCGCACACACACACACACACACACACACACACACATGCTTAGGCTATACCGCCTGCCCTTGCATCACAGACTGTCATAGATTTACCTTCTGTGGCAGGAGCATACCACTTCTGCAGGCATACACATACACACCCAGTCTCAGACACTACTGTGGGCATTTGGGTGTGAACATTCTGGTTAGTGAGACAAGAACAGGAGGGAGGAGGAGGGGAAGGAGTGGGAGGGTCATAGGGACAGGGCCCTGCAAGCTGCTCCTCTTTCACTAAGAGCTGATGTGGGTGGGGGTGGGTACTGCTGGGGCCACACAGCAGGTGCATGACAGGGGTGGGGGTGGCAGGCGGGAACCTCAAGGGTGGTGTGGACAGGGCTGCCTTCTCTCCTGAAAGAGACTGTTTCCAAGAGTATAGCTCCAAGGCAGGGAGCCTCTGTGGCCCTTGCCCCTGTGTCCCCTACCCCCTCAGCTCCACTCCTGCCCCTAGTCCCACCCCGGGTCTCGGTGTTTGCGAGCTCCAGGTACGTGCCCGTCTGCAGACGTGCCGAGGAGGTGGTGTGATTGCTTTAGCGCCGTCATTTTCAACCGTTTATAATCTTCTTCTGTGTCTGCATATTTTCTCTGTGCACATTATTCATCAGAGTAAAAAAAGGAACTATGAAAACCTCGACCAACTGTCCTATGACAACAAGCGCGGACCCAAGGTATATATGCATGGACGTGCACGCCACCCACCGACTAGCGAGCCCCGGCCTGCGGTGCCTCAGCCACTGGGTGCTTTCTGGCCCCACCGCGCCGAGCCGAGCCGCAGGCCTGAGCAGTGAGGAGAGACAGGTGGTGAGGCAGGCAGCAGGCAGGCAGGAGAGGGCAGGGGTGGGCGGTGTGGGTGTCTGTGGCCCACCCGCCGTGACCCTGGCCCGCATCCTCAAGACAAGCACGGTCACAGGAGGCGCTGCTCTGGGAAGTGCATGAATCTCCAGGTCCGCCAGGGTTTCCTAGTGGAACCCAGGGAGGGAGCCTGCCCACGTGGTCACTTCAGAGTTTGGGCCGCTCCTATAGGAGCAAGAGGAATCAGGTCTGAGCTGAGATCTCCCAAGGTTTTGGAAAAGTCAGCCCCATCTTTCTCTGTTCCCAGTTGCATTCCAAAACTTTTCTATTTCCTGTTCGCTGCACGTCTTTCTAAGTCTCAATCCACTTCAGCTTGCATGCTCAGTGCAAAACAAAAACAAAAACAAAAAACCAAAAACAAACAAACAAACAAAAAAGGAGGACAGGAGTGAGATGGAAAGAGAGACCTGGAGAAAGCAGACTGAGAGAAGAGCAGAGCTTGAGTGAGCACAGGACATCCAGCAGGCTGAAGAAGAGACAGGCAGCAAGGACAGGCCAACGCAGAGGAGAAGGCAGGCGCACAGTGCAGGTGGCAAGGACAGGCCACAGCAGCTCTAGCTAAGCTGCCTCGGGGTTCCTAGCAGCTTTGGCCCCACTCTTGCCGCTGAGGCACGATGTTCCCTTTCCCAACTACCTGCTAACGCTCCTGCTCACACCACAGGCGGAGAAGGTGCTGCAGTTTGACCCAGGAACTAAGAATGTGACAGCTCTACTGATGGAGGCCCGGGAACTGGAGGCCCGGGTCATTATCCTCTCAGCAAGGTGAGTAGGCTGGCTGACTGGGTCCCAGTTCCACCATCTGGGCTAGGTTTGGGGCACTACTGGGCAAAATGAGCTTCAATTTGAAAACCAAAACCAAAACAAAACTTCACTTGGGGCTGGAGAGATGGCTCATTGGGTAAGAGCACTGGCTGAGGACTAGGGTTCAATTCCCAGCACTCACATGCAGCTCACAAATGTCTGTAGCTTCACTTCCAGGGCATCTGACAACCTCACACAGACATACTCGCAGGCAAAACACCAATGATGTAAAATAAAAATAAATAAATCTTTTTTTTTTTTCAAGACAGGGTTTCTCTGTGTAGCCCTGGCTGTCCTGGAACTCACTCTGTATACCAGGCCGGCCTCGAACTCAGAAATCCGCCTGCCTCTGCCTCCCAAGTACTGGGATTAAAGGCATGCGCCACCACTGCCCGGCCAAATAAATAAATCTTAAAAATAAAAAGGTTGGGCTGTAGAGATGGCTTAGAAGTAAAGAGCACTAACTGCCCTTCCAGAGGTCCTGAGTTCAATTCCCAGCAACCACATGGTAGCTCACAGCCATCTGTAATGGATCTGATAGATGCCCTCTTCTGGTGTGCCTGAAGACAGCTACAGTGCCCTCATATATGTAAAATAAATAAATAAAAAAAATTTTTTAAATCTTCACCGAGGAGAGCTGTACCCCATCCCATCTTCTTCCTTCTCTCCTGGAGCCTAGCCAACTCCTCATCCTCCATTCCTTCCTCCCTAGGTTTTCCTCCCTTTTGCAGTCGAATAGGACCATTTGCCACTTGCCCTAAAATCAGCTTTGGGGGTTGGAGATGCAGTGCTAGGAAGCCCATAGACTGGGATACATAGCTATGTAAATATTCTAAGGGCTGAGGACAGAGAAGGAGCGCAGCAAAAGTCACATGCAGGTGAACAGTTTAGCCCAAACTACTGATGAGAACTCATGAAAAACAGGCTAGACCTGGACAGGGCCTGCCTCCCACCCATTTCAATGTTGTGAAAGTGTACACAGTCCCTATTTGCAAACAACTAAGATTTCTGGTAAAGGGGAGCCTGAGACCCATGGAAAGGAAAAACAGGAAGCGAAGTGTGGCAGCCCGAAGGGACAGTGGAGAAGTCTAAGTGGGTCCAGTCCGTGATCTACCCAGCTTTGCTGTGCTCCAGTAGAGTGGAGAAAAAACAGCATATCGTCCAGCTTTGGGAAATGCCACAAATCCTGCTGTCCTGATGGCAGGAAAGGGACAACCGTGCTCAGGCACAGGATAGATACTATTTGCAGATTTAGTCAACAGACTGTCTCTCTGTACATAACCAGATGTACACTGCCCACTGTTCACAGATTGCAGGGTAGGGCAGCCAGGACTCAGCCTGAAAAGCAGACCATGTCTTCATTCAGATGGAGGGTCTGGAAGTAGCTGCCCCACTATGAGGGTGATAGTGATCAGATGTGGTGTGGAATAATATCCTCAGCTTCACCAACACCCCCAGGAGCGTCAGGAAGCAGGTGCCAATTGTCCCACTACCAGTCCAGGCACTTAATAGTCCACAGCCACACTGCAGAGCCACGGACCAGTTGTTCTTGCTGTTCCTCTAACGCAGTGCTTCTCAACCTTCCTGGTGCTGAGACCCTTTAATCCAGTTCCTGAAATGATCTCCACTGGAAAATTATTCCATTGCTACCTCATAACCATAATTTTGCTACTGTTATATAAATTATAATGTAAATATCTGGTATGTGACCCTGAGAGGGGCTTAACCCATCGGTTGAGAACCACTGATCTAACTGCATACTGCATACTTTGGGTGAGGGATGGCCCAGGGCTCCTAGAGAATGGATTACAAATCCATCCAGATGAGGCCAGGGATGCTGCTCAGTGCTCAGAGCACCTACCATGCATCAACAAGGCCCTAGGTCCAATCTCTAGCACCACATAGAACCAGGTATGATGTTGCATACCTGTAATCCAAGCCCTCCAGAGGCAGAAGGGTCAAGGGTTCAAGATCATTCTCAACTACCTAGCAAGTTCAAGGACAGCTTTGGCCACATGAGACCCAATCAGAGGGAGAGAGAGAGGGAGGGAAGGAGTGAGTGAGAGAGAAATGTGTCCAGAAAAGAGAGCAGGGCAGAGAAGGCCTTTGGAAGGCAAGCTCAGCCCTGGTTGACCAAGGAAAGCCATGCTCAGGAAAAGCCTCACCTATTTTCTGATTGTTTGTACTTCTCATCATAGGGCTTGAGGGAGATTTGTTGAGTTTGGATAAAAGAATGTTTGGTATGGTGGGCAAATGAATAAATACAGCAGTCCAGCAAGAAGACTTTCCTGAGGAAGTTATTCTCTTAAAACATAGCTACTCACTATTAGGCCCTTTCATAATAGGCAAAGCCAACATCTGCTTGACTTCTGTCTTATAATGAGGGCAAACAAGACACAAGGCAGAGAACAACCATTCATAGAATCGCACCACACCCAGGCCCCAGCAGAAGAGTGGACCCTTGCCACTTCCTGACTAATAATTTTCAGTACTAACTGCAGCTGAAGGGAATCTCCTCTTTCTTGGGACATAAGGCAAGAAGGACCTCCTCCATGTTGATGACCCAAGGGTTAAAGATGAGCTTGGCAAACATGGCTCTATCAAAGAAGTCACAGGAAGAAGGGTCATGGTGGTTAGGAATACTAACATGAATGTGAGCTGCATGGATACCACCCACCAAGCATACAGCATTCACACACAAACATGCACATATTGGCATGCACCACACTCTTACCATGTATACCCTCACAGCCCACATGAATATACTGCATGTTACATATGTGTTGAGCTACAGCCACAGCCACAATCCACACTGCTTTTTAAACCTCAAAGAGCCCATGGAACCTCAAGCTTGTGCATGCCAGCCGAGTAGGCCCACTGCTGAGCGCCCCGGCCCTCCCCACACTTTAGCCCCTTCCTCACAAGAGAGTTTGTTTTCCAGACTTCATTTGTCTACAGGATACACAAAACTCATCTCCAAAGCTTTTGGTCTTTATTTTCCTCACCCTGTCTTTACTGGTGTCACTATTTCTGTAAAATGGTCAGATGAGGTTTGATAGATCAATCAGATCTCTTGTCTATAACTATTTCATTAATCACAGTCATTCCACCAAGTGACATTGTGTAGCTGTGAGTTGTGTTGGGAAGATGGGGTTCTCTGTCAGAGTTGGTGGTATAGCTGACGTCAGATATGCTTCTGGGCATGTGTGGTGTTGGGTGATCCCTTCTGCGCACAGCACCTCTGTCGCATGTTATTGTTTGTTTGTTTGTTTGTTTGTTTTGAGACAGAGCCCCTCTATGTCCTTGAATTTGTTGTGTATACCAGGCTGGCCTTGAACTTGTGGAGCGTTGCCTGCCTCTGTCTCCCATGTGGTAGGATTAAAGTCATATGCTACCACATTTGGCTCTGGCATATATTCTTGTTGAAGTATTACCTAGGTTGGGGTGTGTGTGTTTCTGTGTGGCTTACATCACCAGCTGCATAGTCATTTAGAGCATTTATTTTGGCTAATTAATCATTCAGAAAGTTGTGAGCAGGCTTCTCTGGGAACTGGGGGTTTTCTTGGTTATGAATCAACTGGTATCAAAAGAAGCCAATAGAGCTGGAGAGATAGCCTAGAGCTCGCAGAGGACATGGGTTCAATTCTTAGCACCCACAGTGACTCACAGCCCTTCATAACTCCAATTCTAGGAGATCTGACACTGGCATCTAACTGCCATAGGCACTAGGCACCAGTTCGGTGCACATAAATGCATTGTGGCAACACTAATACACATGAAATAAAGTTGAGATAACATTTCTAACAAAGAAAAATAACACAGTATCAGGTAACTCACTTGGCTTCACTGTAACTTTCAAACATGCACTGGAGAACCAAAGTGCCAGTCATAGTTGAGCCTTGAACAGAAGAGTCTGACAGGTACAGGGTAAGGACAGGGTCCTCACTGGCTACGGGAGACCAGGAAAACCCCAGAGTCATGGCTATGACCCGGCAGCCCCAGTCTCAGGAGACTAGGTCCCCTGTGTCACTGTCCACAGTAATTACTCATGAGGACACCTCATGTCCCTGTAAGGTGAGGCTTGTCCTGGTGGCCCTGGCCTTGGATGTCACAGGGTTATACCTACCCTGGGTGGTTTCTCTTCTGCCCAATAGTATCTTCAGGATGCTCAGCTTAGCAACTAGAGCACTGGATCCTACTCAGCCCAAAGCCCTCACCTTGTCATTTCATACTCTTGAACGTAGAGGTCCACAAAGCCTTTGGCTTGCCTAGAGCTTACTGGGTCACAGGGTCACAGTGGACTACCCAGGCACAGACCCTACCCTGCCACTTACTGCTATGTAACCTTACCTTTAAATGTCTTCCTGTAAGGACACTGAGATAGTTCCAGCATAGTATTTGAAGCACAGAACACGTGCCCAACAATGAGCCATCAAGAGTTCGGGAAGTCATCTTCTACCCTATTCCTGCCTCCTAAAGGCCGGAGCCCAGCAACTTAAGACTGGAAAAGCCCTGGGTCCGCCCTGTTTTCCTGTACAAACCTCCGGGTCTGGCTGCAGGAAGGGTTGTGGGCATAGGCAAGTTCCCCAGAGCACATGAGAGGGAGAGGCTGTGGATGGGGTAGGGAGACCTGGAGTCCTGGCTCGTCACCGGGTCTGCCCCACAGTGAGGACGACGCTGCCACCGTGTACCGGGCAGCCGCGATGCTGAACATGACCGGCTCTGGGTACGTGTGGCTGGTGGGGGAACGCGAGATCTCTGGGAACGCCCTGCGCTATGCTCCTGACGGTGAGTGCTGGTCTGTGGGGTCGCCTGGGACTGTAGGCCGGTCCAGTCTCTAAGCTGCAGGGTCTCGTGCAGGCATCATCGGACTTCAGCTCATCAATGGCAAGAACGAGTCGGCCCACATCAGTGACGCCGTGGGCGTGGTGGCACAGGCAGTTCACGAGCTCCTAGAGAAGGAGAACATCACTGACCCGCCGCGGGGTTGCGTGGGCAACACCAACATCTGGAAGACAGGGCCACTGTTCAAGAGGTGGGCGTGGTTGCTATCAGTAGGTGGGTGGAGTCAGCTCTTAGATGGGGGGATGGGCTGTTCTTAACCGGGGGAGGACGGGATGGGGGGGTCCGCTCTTCCAGGGGTGGTCTAGCCGGTCCTATCTCGGACATGCTAACTGGTTAGTAACCTCCATCGCAGATCTATATTCCTAGCACCACATCTGTCGTTACTGTGATAATCACCCCCCTTTCTCACCACTACTGCCCTAATCTCCCTGTCACTGAAATTGTAGCTGCCTCCATTTCACCCCTTCCTGTCCACACTGCAGATTTTACCTCACTCCCCACAGTGCTTGGTGCTCCAAAAGGAAGTTCTTGCTGCAGGTGGGGACTGGGATGTTCAAGGAACACAGAAATCCAGAGTAGGCGTCCATGGACAATAGAGATTCAAGGCTGACCAAGGGAAGGGCTGCAGAATCCCAGAGCCGCTGTCAACAGTTTCCCATGTATTGCTGCAGTTACAGGCTGCATACACATACCAGTGAGTGCACAGAACTCAGAGAGGAACATGACACATGTATGCCACAAGCACATTCATAGGGGTGACCCTGTACTTCAGTTGCATGCACACAGACTCACCAATATGCTCCACTGAGCAAACATCCAGCCAAGCAAGCCATCCAGGGGCTCCATCTACTTCCCCCATTGGATGACAAACGGGCCTGAAGTTCTCTGGGCCTTCCCTGTAAAACCACCATGGAGGCTATTACAATCACATGTTTTAATCCAGAGAAGCCTTTGCCATGGCTTCAGGTGCAGTAGCTGTGCTGTCCATCTGGTGCTGGCCAGCGTGCACCATGTCCTCCACTCCGTGTGAGGAGCTACCATCTGCTAATCTTTCCTTTCTTGAGACTAGGGCAGAAGGGCTGGGAGCTTGGGCTACTCGGAAGCCAGTAGGAATGGGTGTTCTTGATAGATCTAAGCTATCCTCTCTTCCCAGGGTGCTGATGTCTTCTAAGTATGCGGATGGAGTGACTGGCCGTGTGGAGTTCAATGAGGATGGGGATCGAAAGTTTGCCAACTATAGTATCATGAACCTGCAGAACCGCAAGTTGGTGCAAGTGGGCATCTACAATGGGACCCATGTAGGTGGGGGTCATGAGGGGGTGGGGGCTGGGGCCTTAGGGTCCTGGGGCCAAGACCCCTGCGTGGCCACCCTCCATCTCATACTCCCACCCCCAGGTCATCCCAAATGACAGGAAGATCATCTGGCCAGGAGGGGAGACTGAGAAGCCTCGAGGATACCAGATGTCCACCAGACTGAAGGTGGGGGATGCCGCTGATGCACCCCAGCATTCCCATCTGCAACACTTCATCTATTCCTTCAGGCCAGGAGGAAAGGGGATGAGGTCACAGAACACAGAGAGAAGAGGTGGAAGGTGTGCCAGCACCTGGCTCTGGCACACATGGCAGAGGAAGCTGGAGTGGAGGTGGGGGAGGAGGAGCAGCAGGGTCTACCCAACAGGGTCTTTGCAGTACTCTATCCTGGCCTAGCTCTAGTAAGTCTGAGGAAGAACTGACAGAGGCAGAGGAATGGTGGGTGGGTGCTTTGGGCCCCAGTGCAGAGTTTAGCTTAGAAGGTACTGTCTCGAGTGTCCCGTTTCTCCTTGGGCACCCAGGAACCCCTTCTTAAACTGGCTTCTTCCTGTATAGTCTCTTTTCCTCAGCCTGATTTAACACTTTCCTTGGGTTCATCCATGGACCCCTCCCTCTGCCTAAGGCTATTCTAAGAATTCTTCTTCATGTTGAGCCATGGCAGGTGCTCCCAGCTCTGATACTGTAGATCACCAAAGGCAGACTCTGCAGTGCCATGTGCCTAGCCAACCTTCCTTTAGTGCCTTTATCAAATATCTCAGCCTTTCTAACTCTCTGAGCTTACCCCTGCCACGGGGGCTCAGTCTCCGGTGAGTACCTGTGTGCATCTCCCACAGGACAGTGACTGTCACCTTACCAATGTGGTATCTGTTTGCAGTTCAGGCCAGTTGAAAAGTCTGAGAGTTCTGGGTGGTGGTGGCACAATCCCTTTAATCCGAGAGGCAGAGGCAGAGGCAGACAGATCTCTATGAGTTCGAGGCCAGCTTGGTCTACATAGCTAATTCCAGGACAGCCGGGGATACACAAAGAAACCCTGTCTTGAAAAACCAAGGGGAGGGGGGCTGAAAGCTGCAGCCACACACCAATAGCCAGAAGGACCCATCAAGGTGCCGTTGGCCTCACTGGCTTGTTCAATTTTATTTCATATGTATGTTTTGCCTGTCTGTATATGTAGGTACCATGTGCTTTCCTGGTGCCCACAGAGTTCAGACTATCAGATTCCCTGTAACTGGAATGGATGGTTGTAAGCCACCATGTGGGTTCTTCTGTAAGACCTTCAGGTGCTCAGAACTGCTCACCCACTTGTCTAACCCCATCACTAATTTTTTGACAGCACTAGCAAATACACTTACATAATAGGAAAAAAAATATGGTCCTGCCTCCTCTTGACTCTTCCTTCTCAAGACTCCCAGTGAGGGTACCTCCTCCACTGCCTGTCACCATGCCTTGATTTGCTGTCCACTCCTGCCTGGGCTGCCTACCCCGCTGTTCTCTGCATCTGATACAGACCCTCAGCAACTGACTGTATTCCACTCTGGCATTCCCCCAGACTTCTACCTGTCCCCGACTATGAGACTGTGGACCCTAGAGAACAGGGAGGAAGAATATCAAAGCTGAAGTCTGGGCTGAAGAGGCAGCCTTGAAAAAGAAGTATTAACTAGGCATGGTGGAGCATGCCTTTAAACCCAGCACCCAGATGAAAAAGAATCAGTAGTTCAAGGTCCTTCTCAGCTACATAGCAAGTTGGGGCCAGCCTTGTCTCTGTGAGGCTCTTTCCTTTTTTGTGGGGGGACATAGAGAAGAGTTCATTTGGCTTACACCTCCATATTGTCTTTCATCATTGAAGGAAGTCATGACAGGAACTTAAACAGGGCAAGAATCTGGAAGCAGGAGCTGATGCAGAAGCCCTGGAGGGGTGCTGCTTATTGGCTTGATCCTTATGGCTTGCTCAGCCTGCTTTCTTCTAGAACCCAGGACTACCAGCCCAGGGTAGCTCCACTCACAATGGGCTGGCCTTTCTCTCATTTAATGGCTAATTAAGAAAATGCTTTACAGGCTGGCCTACAGACTAATCTTATGGAGGCATATTTTCCTTTTATTAAAAATTAATTTACTCTTTTCTCATGTATTACATCCCAACTGTACTTTCCCTTCTGTCTATGAGGCCCTGTCTTAAAAAAAAATAGAAAGAAAGAAAACCATACCAGGCAGTGGTGACACACACTTTTAATTCTGGTACTCAGGAGGCAGAGGCAGAAGCAGGTAAATCTCTGTGAGTTCAAAATTAGTCTGGTCTACAGAGCAAGTTTCAGGACAGCCAGGGCTACACAGGGAAACCTTGTCTTGAAAAAACAAACAAACAAAAAAAAAACAAAATAAAATAGAGAAGATAAACCAGACTTCATATAATATTTAATGCACCCATCGGTAGTTTCAGGTGTTTGAATTCTCATTACAACACATTTTCAAGGAATTGCCATTTGCTGATGAAAATGAGAGAATATTTGTTGTGTCATGAAAAGGTACACACCTTCTCCCCATTCTCATTTGCAAATTCTAACATTAAATTTTCTTCCTTTGGGTGGAGAGATGGCTTTTCCAGAGGACCTGGGTTCAATTCCCAGCAACCACATGGTGAATCACAACCATCTGTAATGGGGTCTGATGCTCTCTTCTGGTGTGTCTGAAGACAGCTGCAGTGTACTCACAGGCATAAAATAAATAATTCTCTAAAAAACAAACAGAATGCTGAGGTGGTAGGATACACCTTTAATTCAGGAGGCAGAGTTGGGTGTATTTCTGTTAGTTCAAGGCCAGCATGGTCTACACAGCCAGTTCCACATCAACCAATATTGTATAGCTAGAACTACAAGACCCTGATGCAAAAAAAAAAAAAAAAAGTATGGGGACTGGTAAATACCCAGTGAGTCACATAAATTTGGATCCCAGAACCCATGTAAAAGTCTGGACATGACTGCATACTGTACTCATCATAACCCTGTCCTTGGTGGATGGAGTGGGCAGAGACAGGTTGGTCACTAAAGCTTGCTGACTAACCAACCCAACCAATTACTGTGCTCCAGGCTTAAAAGAAAACTTGCCAATAATAAAATAATAATAATAATAATAATAACAGCAGCAGCAGCAACAACAATAAAAAACAGTGGGACTGGAGAGATGGTTCAATGGTTTAGAGCACTGGCTGTTCTCCCATAGGACCCAGGTTTAAGTCCCAATACCCACACAGCAGCTCCCAATCATCTGTATCTGTAGTTACAGGGGATCTAATGTTCTTTCTGACCTCTGTGGGCACTGTATGCACCTGGAGTACAGACATGGATGCTGACAAAACACCCATACATGTAATATAGAAAAAATAAATCTTTAAAGAAAAATAAAATAGGGGCTAGGAAGATATCTTCTCAGAGGTTAAGAGTACTTGTTGCTCTCCCAAAGGACCTGGGTTCAATTCCCAGCACCCACATGGTAGTTTACAACTATCTGTAACATCAGTTCCAGGGGACCTTATGCCTCCTTGTGATTTCTGTGGGCTCCTGCATGTATGTATACACATATATGTACTCAGGCACACACACACACATAAAAGTGTAAATAGTAAGAGTGATAGAGGAAGACATGGCACATTAACCTCTGGCCTCCATGTGCATTTGCTCACATACATGAAGACACAGGAACACATACATACATACATACATACATACATACACACATACATATAAACATGCCTTAAAGGTAATTTTTTAAAAGACAAGAATTAAAGACTGAAGGCTACATGCCAGTGGAGGCCAGGGTGGCTTGGAAAGGACATGGTCTTTCTGCTCCCTGATGGATCAGAGAGAGTAAGTACCTGGTGCACACTTACTGCATAGCAGCACTGTGATAGAGCAATGGATAAGCTGTGGCCTGAGGGAAAGGGGCCACGGAAGTGGACACAGCATTGCGGGAGGCATTTCTGATGAGTTGGGAGATGGCTGGGAACTTGTCTGTGCCCTGCTCTAGCTGCCCCCTGGATCTGCCCCCAAGGGCAGCAGGCAGGCAATGCCAACCATGTCTGGATGTGGACTGACTGAAAATCAGGGGGAGGCTTTAGGCTTGGGATTTGATGCAGCACTGGGAAAACATGAAGAAGGAAGGTTGCTATGTGCTGAGAAGTTGACACTTGGAGACAACCAAGGCCAGGTAGCCCAGGCTAGCTCTTACCTTTCCGTGCAGATAGTGACAATCCACCAAGAGCCCTTCGTGTATGTCAAGCCCACAATGAGTGATGGGACATGCAAGGAGGAGTTCACAGTCAACGGTGACCCAGTCAAAAAGGTGATCTGCACGGGGCCTAATGACACATCCCCAGGAAGCGGTAAGTGCCAGGCAAAGTGTAGCAGGGCAAAGGGTCTCCAAGTCAGGGAGCCATGGTTAATATTCCCTAACTGTCCATAGCACGCCACACAGTACCCCAGTGCTGCTACGGCTTCTGCATCGACCTGCTCATCAAGCTGGCCCGGACCATGAATTTTACCTATGAGGTGCACCTGGTGGCAGATGGCAAGTTTGGCACACAGGAGCGGGTATGGAGTGAAGGGGGTAATGGGAGGGTCCTGTGAGCTTAGATGGATTAACTGGAAAGCCTACGGCCCGGGTGGAGCCTTTTTAGTGGGGGCTGTTGGTTGGGGCTGGGTTTCAGAGGTCAGCTAGGTGTGAAGTGGGAGACGAGCTCTCCGTGTGCCAGGCCGACTGTGGTATAGGAGTCCTCGTTCAGGGAGCCGTGGCCATCCCATCTGCAGCCCCACCGGTTCTGTCTCTTTGCAGGTAAACAACAGCAACAAAAAGGAGTGGAATGGAATGATGGGAGAGCTACTCAGTGGTCAAGCAGACATGATTGTGGCGCCGCTGACCATCAATAATGAGCGTGCGCAGTACATAGAGTTCTCCAAGCCATTCAAGTACCAGGGCCTGACCATTCTGGTCAAGAAGGTAGGTAGGGACCAGGTGGGGATGGGATGGGGCCATGGAAGGCCCAGGTGACACTGACCATTGGTCACCTGCAGGAGATCCCCCGGAGCACACTGGACTCATTTATGCAGCCTTTTCAGAGCACACTGTGGCTGCTAGTGGGACTGTCAGTTCATGTGGTGGCTGTGATGCTGTACCTGCTGGACCGCTTCAGGTGAGCACCGTGCAGAGAGCCAGGCTCCTCCATGTGTAGGGAGGGCAGAACTGGGCAGGGCTGGGCAGAGCTGCCTCTCCTGCCCTCTCTCCCGCCTTCTCTTTGTACTCCACAGTCCCTTTGGCCGATTTAAGGTGAACAGTGAGGAGGAGGAGGAGGATGCACTGACCCTGTCCTCTGCCATGTGGTTCTCCTGGGGTGTCCTGCTCAACTCTGGCATTGGGGAAGGTGAGGTTAAGCCCAGGGCCTGCATGGCTGCATTCCCTGCTTTTCAGGAGCCGACCCAAGTCTCTACCCACAGGTGCCCCCCGGAGTTTCTCTGCACGTATCCTAGGCATGGTGTGGGCTGGTTTTGCCATGATCATTGTGGCTTCCTACACTGCCAACCTGGCAGCCTTCCTGGTGCTGGATCGGCCTGAGGAGCGAATCACGGGCATCAATGACCCTAGGGTGAGGTCCCTGGGTAGGGGTTGGGGGGTCAAGAGGTTAAGAGGGAGTATCTGTTTTGTGTGGGGTTTGGGGGGCAGCCACGAGCTGAGGTCTCTGTCCCCGCAGCTCAGAAACCCCTCAGACAAGTTCATCTATGCAACTGTAAAACAGAGCTCGGTGGACATCTACTTCAGGAGGCAGGTGGAGTTGAGCACCATGTACCGACACATGGAGAAGCACAATTATGAGAGCGCAGCTGAGGCCATCCAGGCTGTGCGGGACAAGTGAGCAGGCAGACCGAGGGCCGCCCTGGCCGGGGGCGGGATGCTAGAGGGACGGGCAAAGGGGAGCCCCTCACCCAGGAAACTCAAGTGAAGACTGTCTACTGCAGTGTGAGCAGGGTGGGGCGAGCAGGCTCCGCAGGGCTCCTTTGACTCTGCCTCTGCCGGCAGCAAGCTCCATGCCTTCATCTGGGACTCAGCTGTGCTGGAGTTTGAGGCTTCACAGAAGTGTGATCTGGTGACCACGGGTGAGCTGTTCTTCCGCTCAGGCTTTGGCATCGGCATGCGCAAGGACAGCCCCTGGAAGCAGAATGTTTCCCTGTCCATACTCAAGTGAGTCTGCCCCGTGCTGGAAACCTCCTCTCCCTTCTCCATCTGCTCCAAGAGCCTCCCACAAGGTTGGGAGTCCCTGGTGCTCCAGGGGCAGCACACCAAACTACTCCACTCCAGGCTGAGAGCTGTTAACTAGATACTGTATCATGTGGAGAAAAAGTCTTAAAGGACTCATTCCACCCAAACCATGCATTAACCCCATGGGGGAGCCTCCCCATTACCAGCCCAGCAGAGGCTACAGGCCTCCCCAAATAGAAAAGCCCCACTTGGACTGCAAGTCCTGGTCCAGTGTTGCCTCCCCTGTGAGCTCTGCCCATTCCCAGTCCTTCCCCCTGAATGCCCCGCCCATTCCCAGCCCCACCCCTGCTTCCAGCCCTGCCTTTCCTTTCCCCTTACTTACTACCTAGGTCCCATGAGAATGGCTTCATGGAAGACCTGGATAAGACATGGGTTCGGTATCAGGAATGTGACTCCCGCAGCAATGCTCCTGCAACCCTCACTTTTGAGAACATGGCAGGTGCGCCTTCCATGCTACTGTGATGCTGGGATGGATTCTCTTGGGGCTTTAGCCTCTGGGCAGGCAGCTGAGGATCCCTTCACACAGGGGTCTTCATGCTGGTGGCTGGAGGCATCGTAGCTGGGATCTTCCTCATTTTCATTGAGATCGCCTACAAGCGACATAAGGATGCCCGTAGGAAGCAGATGCAGCTGGCTTTTGCAGCCGTGAACGTGTGGAGGAAGAACCTGCAGGTAGGACAGGCCACCCTCCGAGGCCTGGCGTCCAGGGCCCCGCCAGGCCACGGCCCTACTCTTTCCCTACAGGCCATGGCACTGGCTCTGGCTCATGGGCAGGACCGGTGCTAGAAGCCATGGCCAGGGGCAGTGGTGAGTGTCCCCAAGGCACAGGGGCAGCACAGGCAGGGGCTGCCTGCAGGCGGCCACCCACTGCCAAGCTGGGCCAAGGGAAGCCATGCACCCAGCTTCAAGCCTCTGCCTGGCCGCTCTGTCTCCAAGGTCAGCTATTGGCACCCAATCCATAGGAAAGCAAACAGGCAGGGTAAGACAAGGGCCCTCCTGTGTATAGATCATGAATCTGAGATGCACTTAAGCCTCTATCACCCAAGCACTTTGACACCATTTGGGGACCCCCTTTTCATGCTGTGTCTTGCTTCGTGACTCCAAATCTAAATGGGGCTGATCTGCCTCAGGCCACACCCATGTGGATTTGTGGTTGCAGGGATGAGGCTGCATGTGGGACGGTCAGAGTCCACCAGGGAAAGGGATAGGGTGGGCAGTGAGGCTCAGAGAGACCTGAAGACTAGTGGCCAATGGTCAGGTTCCGATTCACTTGTCTCTTCTCTTTCTCTGGGTGTCTTCCTGGAGCTGTGTCCTGAGCTGACATTGACATTGCAATGAGGGCTGTGGGCAGACAGGGCTATTGGAGCCCCCACACCTTTCATCCACCCATTCTTGCTTTTGGCCCTACAGGTCCCCTGGGGACCTGGCCACAACTGTCCAGGGCTATGCTGGCCAGCGTCCCCGGATCTGCCTCTGTCTATCACTCCAGTTCCAACTGGACACTTCCTCGGGTCCTTGGCCCTTTCCTGGTGTGTGCCCTTTGGGGTCAACAGCCTCTGAACAGAAAGGCTGGTGCGGCCTGAGGGGGAGCTCTTCCTGTCCTCAGGGGCTCCTCCTTCTCATGATGCCTCTAAGCCAGGGCCACCCAGGAGCCAGGGAGCAAGGCGGACATCCCAGGAAGAGTCCCATCAGGACCCCCAAGCCCAGACCCAGCACAAGCAAGGACAGGCCCAACCCCGGGCAGAAGAGGCCACTCTTGAAAGTCTGGCTGTTGGTCCATCTGTTCAGCACAGTGAGGCAGGCAGGAGTCAGGGCCTGAGTGACCGGCCAGGCCTGGCAGCGGCCCCAAGGAGCAGGCGAGGGCAGGTGTGGCCACCACCCTTAGTTGTCTAATCGCTTATACATATTCATTTTAGGATAGAAAGAGTGGTAGAGCAGAGCCCGACCCTAAAAAGAAAGCCACATTTAGGGCTATCACCTCCACCCTGGCCTCCAGCTTCAAGAGACGTAGGTCCTCCAAAGACACGGTAAGGGGAAGCACCCCAGTCCCGCGTCTCTGACTCCTCCCTTGCCCCATGTCTGTCTTCCTCTCCCTTGCCATCCCACCCCTGCCCCCATCTTCAACCCTGGCCATCTGTGCCAAGTCAGTCTTTCACTCACCCTCCACCCATTAAAGGGTGATGTCCTTTAGAACGCTCCAGCCCTCTCCTTAAGCCCTCACTGGTCCTCAGCTTCCCCATGTGTCTCCACGTTAGTCCGCCCACCTCTCTCCCCATGCCATGACCCACACACCATCTGGAAGCTGTGTTATGTTGTTGGTCAGTCAGTCAGCCTCACTGCCTCTCTGGGCTCCCTGGACCCTGGGAGCCAGAGTAGCCCTGTGCCAGGTGGCCCTGCCAGGAGGCCACGCTGCATCTGTTTCATCCCTGTTTCTCTTGCCTCCACATGGGGCTTGATGCCTTCATTCTTGCCCTGCAACAGTCCTGCAGGGTGTAGCTGTGATGTCCCATCCGTCCGTCTGTCTGGCCACTGGCCCCGCCCCCCAGACACCTGTCTCACCTGTCTCACCAGAGCCATGCGTGTTGCATCTTCCATGTGGTCTCTGTGTGGGCCGGGGGCTGGGGGCCGGGCCTGGGTCCATCTGGGTGGACGACTGGGGCCTAGCATTGGCACTGACCCTTGGTCACAGGGAGACTGTCAGGTGGGGAGTGGGGTGTTGCCATGTTGAACAGGTCCCTGACAGAGGTGTGGCAGCAGCACCAGGTGATCTGAGCATGAATAGGATATCCTTGAAAGTCCTGGGGCCTGAGCACCTAAGGAAGGGAGGCTAAGACCAGTGCTTCAGCTCAGACCCCCAAGCACTGCCACAGGCCACTGTCAGAGTCAGACCTTCTGCCTTCAGAGTCAGATCCCTGTCCCCTGCCTTGGGCAGCATGCCACTGCACCAGAAATACACACTCAGAAGAAAGTCCTCCAACAGGCTCCCTGATCCTACCAAGTTACCCTCTAGCCCACAGGAAGCCCTCTAACAAGTGGGGAGTGTTACCCACAGGGGCTTGTGTCCCACAAGGAATCTGGATCTGTAGTTACACATCTATGTCCAGGAAGAAAGACAGACAGACAGGATTTGGCACGAAGCAAATGCCAGGTTGAAAGTACTAGGATGCTCCAGAGAGACCCACAAGGCCTGGCTGCTCAGTTCTACAAGGGCCTTGGTTCAGGAAGAGCGGATGAAGAGTAAGGATCTGTGGTTTGCACCAACTTGAGGCTCCAGGAGCTGCTGCAAACACTTGCCTCACTCAGATCAGGGAAAGTGGGCAAGGTCTGTGCTACAAGTTCTGAGCCAGAAGCCCCACAAGGAGGCACAGGGGAGAGCAGGCCAAGGGAGCTGTTGGGCTGGAATTTGTGTGGGAAAGGGGAAATCTGACAGAGAAGACAATCTGTACTTTTGGGGCCAGGTGGCCAAGGTGGGGAAAGTACAAAAGTCCTGCAGGTGGCAGACCATTTTCAATGGGTGTCACAGAGTCTTGGGGCCCCATCTGGAGCTGGCCAGGTACAACTCAGAGATCTACGTGGTTCCTTTCTGGGGACTTGCTCTCAGTTCAATCTTTACCTGAGCCTCCCTGGGCACCAGGGACCCCTTCTTCCGGGCCATCTGGAGCTGGCCCCACCCTGCAGGGTTGACTTCTGGGAGCTGGGTGGGGGAGGGCAGTCCAGCTCCAACCCTGTCTCTGGGGCTGGGTGCTGTTCAGAGGGAGGCCTGGGTGGGGGCTCCTTTGGATGGGGTGGGGTCGGTCCAGCTGCTGAGATCCTCTGCCCCTGTCCTGTGGCCGGTCCGGGCCAGGGCAGCACTGGGCGCTCAGGGCTGGGATCCCTGGTGGCCGGCGGGGCCAGCAGGTATTGATTGTTGGTTCTTATTTATAGAGCACCGGGGGTGGACGCGGCGCTTTGCAAAACCAAAAAGACACAGTGCTGCCGCGACGCGCTATTGAGAGGGAGGAGGGCCAGCTGCAGCTGTGTTCCCGTCATAGGGAGAGCTGAGACGCCCCCCCCCCCCCCCTCTGCCCCTCCCCCGCAGACAGACGCACGGGACAGCGGCCTGGCCCACGCAGAGCCCCGGAGCACGACGGGGTCGGGGGAGGAGCACCCCCAGCCTCCCCCAGGCCGTGCCCGCCTGCCCGCCAGTCGGCCGGCTGGCCGGTCCACCCTGTCCCGGCCCCGCGCGTGCCCCCGACGTCGGAGCTAACGGGCCGCCTTGTCTGTGTATTTCTATTTTACAGCAGTACCATCCCACTGATATCACGGGCCCGCTCAACCTCTCAGATCCCTCGGTCAGCACCGTGGTGTGAGGCCCCCGGAGGCGCCCACCTGCCCAGTTAGCCCGGCCAAGGACACTGATGAGTCCTGCTGCTCGGGAAGGCCTGAGGGAAGCCCACCCGCCCCAGAGACTGCCCACCCTGGGCCTCCCGTCCGCCTGCTCTGCTGCCTGGCGGGCAGCCCCTGCAGGACCAAGGTGCGGACCAGAGCGGCTGAGGATGGGCCAGAGCTGAGCCGGCTGGGCAGGGCCACAGGGCGCTCCGGCAGAGGCAGGGCCCTGAGGTCTCTGAGCAGTGGGGTGAGGGGCCTAAGTGGCCCCGGTCGGAGGAGTCTGGATCAGAAATGGTAGCTCCATCCTTCCTCCAGCCACTACCCCAAGCTACAGTGGGGGCCCATGGCCCCAGCTTGCTAGGTCACCCTCCACCCCTCCTCCAGCGCCTGCTCTCTGCAATCTGATTTCCACCTCTCTCCTGCTTCACCTCTCTCTCCCATGACCCTTCCCCACCCCATTCACTGGGCTGGCTCTGACCTTTCCTAGGGCTAGCCTTCACTGCCCTAGTGGCAGTGCTTCCCAGGGGTGCTCTCTGGCTCCCAGATGTCTAGGGCTCCAGACTCCAAGAGGGCTGAGCTTTCTCTTCTGCCTGCAGCCACAATAGGCTTCCTCAGACGCTGGCTCATAACGAGCCCCGCACCTTGGGCACCAGGGAGCGCCATCCGCCTCCCAGTCCGGTGTCACTCACCCACCACCTTGTACATGACCAGCTCTCCCAGTGTCCAAGCGCGTGCCTTCCCCGAGCCACCGGTGCGCAGCAGCGCGCTGCCTCTCTGCCCCAGGGACACCGGCGCGCACAGCCACCCCAATCCCGGTATTCAGTGGTGATGCCTAAAGGAATGTCAGAAAATTTCCGGGTTTTGTCTATTGTTGACGCCTACAGGGAATGTGAAGGGAGGATCAGGGATTTGGGGCGAGTTTTCAAAGTGAGGAGCACTGCAGGAGCGCTAGAAACAACCGCAGTCCCCTTAGGCTTGGATAGCTGGTGTCCCTGGGCTCCCAGCAGCCTCCAGAGAGGCTGAGCCCCCGGGTTCTAGCTGTCTCCTCAGTAAGTGGCGCACTGTGGTGCGGCGGTGGCAGCGCCGTGCACCACAAGCCGTGAGCACGGAGCCCAATGCCAGGCAGACGGCCAAACTGGCAAGGAAAGAGACTGGCCCGAGAGCATAGACCACCACCAGGTCTCGCGCTGCGAGTGACTGAGTGCACTGTTTGAAGGCGGAGTCCGAAAAAGCTGTCAGAAGGCTGAGCGTCTGGAGTCTTGGAGACACGCAAAGCAGGGTCTCAGTTTCTGCGGGACACAGGAGTGGCATCAGATGGCAGCAATTGCACCAAACATTATTCGTCCTGCGCCCCAGATGGCTCACCTGAGGCAGGACGCGGGTGCTTACGCAGCCAGGTGCAAAGCGGGCGCAGCGCGCAGTTGCACGCCCAGGGGTTGCCATGCAAGCGCAACTCGTCGAGGGCAGGCAAGCTATTTAGTAAACCCGCTTCAAGTGCCGATAGTGAATTGTCCTGCAGGCTGAGCACCCGCAGTAATGGGAGCGGGCCCAGGATTGAAGGCTCCAGGAATGCCAGTCGGTTACCCGCTAGGGAGAGGAAACTCAGTGCGCGCAACGGCGCGAAAGTGCCAGGAGACAGAGTTTCCAGCTGGTTGGAGCTCAGGTCCAGCCATTGCAACACTCCCAGACCCCAGAAAGCTCGCGCGTGCACCAACCGAAGCCGGTTGTCCCTCAGATCTAGGTTTAGCAGCGCGCCTGCATCAGCGAAGGCACCTGGAGGCAGTACGCTCACGCGATTGTGATCCAGCAGCAGTGAGCGTACTTGCCAGCTCAGCCCCGCTGGTACCGCCGGCAGCGCGAGTGCGGAGCAATTGGCCTTGCCGCCTAGTGAACATGAACATGCCTCGGGGCATTCGGGGGCCACCGGGGATTTGGAAGGGGCAGTTCCAATGTGCTCCTGGGTCCAGACTCGCCTCAACGACAGCAGCAGCAGCAGAGAGAGTTGCGGCGGAAGCCGCGAGAAAAAAGAACCTCGCATGGGGGCAGCTCGAGAACACAAGGGGACCTCGATCCCTGTGAGGCTTCGGAGTCCAGGTGACCCAGAGCTTGTCTCTGCCTTGCCTGCACAAGTATCAACTCTCTTGCCCTAGCACAACAGTTTCCGTCCCACCGCTGCTTCCTCGACTTGGGCGGGGATTAGGCACAGAGCCAACCCAGCACTGCCAACCACCTGTCCAGAGCTCCAGTCTTGGCTCGGCCTTGAGGTGGGAATAGAGCTGATGAAATCATTGGCCTCCCCGTGAGACCTAAAGAGCAGGATCAAAGCCACCAGTGCTGTATAGAATGCAGTTCCCAGTGCCTTGCTCCATACCCCAGTCGCAATTCCATTCCTACTCAGCAAAAGGACCCCACAGATACTAAAAGGACCCCAGTCTCTTAACTGTACATTGGTGAAAATGTAAACACATGATGGAGCCTAACCGCAGAGGGAGAGACCTGGAAATGTAGGAGGGACGACACATCTAAGGCAAAAGAGGAAGTGTTGAAAAGACGTTGCTTCCACCCCCTCCACCTTGGAACCCTTGAGGACAGTGTCAGTGGAAAGGGCACTGGCCTTAGGCCAGTCAGTGCAGCTCCCTTTTGGTTTGCCAGCTTACAGGTCCTGTCTTGGGGAATCTGGAAAGGTGGGAGGGCCCAAGGTCAGTCATCTTTCTAAGATCAACAGTAGGAAAGTGCAAGAAAGAGCTGAACTGGCCAGCTGGGCTAGGAGCTAGAAACCCAAGGGTGTGGCTCAGTAACTCAGGGTGGAGACACCCACCATGATTCATGCACAAACACTGCCTCTTGAGGGACATGCAAGAAGGACAGCACATAATCACTAAATACTGTTTAATTCTCCAGCCTAGCTGCCCTCCACTACTGTGGAGGTAGGGGAGGAGGGGGAGGGGGTGGAGGTGGCTCTAGAGGAGCAGTCATGGTCATGAGGCCTTGGTTCTCCAAGGACTGCATCATGGATACCTCCAGATCAGGGTCCATGAGGTGGGACTCCACGTGCACCGTGTGCAGGTCTATGCTTTCTTCCTGGACCCCATAGGGCCCCACCAACCTGCATGATGGACTACATCAGCATGAGCCCACAAGGCCTTGGCCACCCAGGGGAAGCCAGCCCTTGAGGACACTGCTCTCAATACAACTGTGAGCTGCACTTCCAGGAGGGGGCAGAGAGAGGACACGGCTCACCCTTGAGACTTCCTCTAACACACTTACCTGTTTTCCGAGTGTCCAGGGCACGTGTCACTGAGGAGGACAAAGGCAGGTGTGAACTCTGGAGAAATGCTCATTCCACATGTCTGGAAGTCCCCTGGAACATCTTCCTAAAACCCTCACACCCAACACACGCCATGGAAAACACTATCCCCAGCCTCTCAGCCTCTCATGACATAACCACCCCAAGAAGAGGCCCCTCAGAGCGTGACTAACAGCCCAGGGCTAACAGCCTCACTCCCACTGTGCCCAATCCCAAGCTCACGCACCCCTTGGCCCGAAAGACACCAATCGCCACAACAACGAGGGCACAGAAGCAGCTGGCACTGACACCAGCCAGCACCACAATGAGGGCAATAAGGGCCTCACGGCTGAGGCCAAGGCTGCATTCACAGTAGGTTCCAGCTGCAGAAACAAGGCCACAAGACCAGAGGCCAGTCACCTGCCTGTGGAGGACCTCAAGTCCACCCCCACCCTGTGGCCCTTGGAAGGACACAAATGGCTTGCCCTGCCTGGAAAAGGGAGGGGCTCTGGCTGGAGGGCTAATGGCAGAAGGCACCTGAAGCAGGGATGATCAAAAGGGACAGATATATCAGGCCAAGGGGGCTGCCAGCTGGGCAGGAGTCAGGCTGGGGGCAGGGGGCCATGTCCAGTCCCCAGCCCCACCACACACCTCTAGACGGAACTCATTGGAAGGTGCTGACCTCACAGTGGGGCTGTGAGGCAGAGGGTGTGGGGGCAGGGCCTCAGAGCACTCAGGCTGACTTGAACTTCATCCATACTTGGATGCTGGAACTCCAGGAGTTCTGGGGCAGAAAGTCCTGGATGGAGCAGGTAAAGGGGACAGGGTTGGCAAGCTCTGGCCAGATCTGAGTCAGAGGATATTAGGGCTATAGCTTTAAGGACAGATAGAACTTCTAGTTAAATGGGTGAGAAACCTATTTTGTCATCTGTTTGGTGTTAAAAACCATGGTCTCAATTTGCTTTTAAACATCAGGACTGCAGATCTCTAAGCGGAGTCAGAGTTATCTAACTCCTTGCTAATAAACCCATCCCCAAGTTGAGGCAAGCAGAGGTGGGTGGGTACATGTGTTCAGTTGCCCTTTTTATTTGCTTTGGAAGGCTAGGATCATAAAGCCTTTAAAGCCCAGGTTAGAGGACTACTAGTGTCCTAAGGAATCCTCGATCATCCCCTGGGATAGGAGAATCACTGGCTACATCTGCCAGAGCAGGATATCTGGCCATGTCCTTAGGACATTCCCCCTGTCCCCAGGGGGCAGATGACGCAGAACTGATGGCACTCTCTGGCTCATACATGCTGTGTTATTAGTCAAGAGCTCAGTGCTCTGAGGGTCTGTTGCCTTGGAGATCAGCCAGCCACTGCCCAAGGAAGCAAGTTTGCCTATAGGCTGGCATGGTCAGAGTTAACTTACATCTCTGTACTGAATTTGGTAACCCAGGCTGGGAAGCAGAGCAGCCCTACCCTGCTGTCATTCTTTTCTATGGGGAACCTGCCAAGCAAACTAAGAATCAGGAGGAGGAAATGTCAGCCCTGCAGCTGACTGAGCCCAGCCTCCTGCCAGCTGGAGCCAACTGGGAGCCAGGAAGGGGGCACAGTTTGAACCCAGTGGCCCTAATCACAAGGACATCCCTGCCAGCAAACACAGGTACCCTTCTAGGGTTGGTCTTTAAGGAACAGCTAGCAGCTCCTGACATG